CGCAGATCTGCCCTCACAGAGGAGGGAGAGCTTGTACCTGAAGGCGAGATGGGGGGGGGCACTTCTTGCTCCTTGTGGCCCGACTGAGGGCTGCTGGGAGCAGGGGGTGGGGCTCGTTGCATGTGCCCGCCCCCTGGGCTTCTTACTGCCGGAGCTCCGCTCCTGTGCGCTCCCGCAGGAAATGACCCCTGCCGTTTCTCATATCGATACTCCTTTTCAGGAACAACAGCGTGATCCTGGCCGACGAAATGGGCTTGGGGAAGACCATCCAGACAATCTCCTTCCTCTCCTGCCTTTTCCACCAGCATCAGCTGTACGGCCCCTTCCTGATCGTGGTGCCCTTGTCCACCCTCACCTCGTGGCAGCGGGAGTTTGAAATCTGGGCCCCCGAGATCAACGTGGTTGTCTACATCGGAGACCAGATGAGCAGGAACACTGTGCGTAGGCTCGAGCTGAGGAGGCGGGGTTACCCTTCGGGGTGCGGGGTGGGAGAGGGCATGGTCAGGACTGTTGACTTCCTGGACAGGTGGGTGGTCAGTATGTGTTGAACGGAGAGAAGAGTAGTTAGGAAGGACTCCTGTACAGGGTTGTAGCTGCTCTGTTGATCTAAATGTGTTTTGACTGACAAAAATAATGAGATTTACTGATGTGGAGCCCTGACCTAGGGGGCCATGGTGGCTCAGAGGTTAAGACACTGGAAGATCTGTAGTTCAGCAGTTTGAGACCTGAGTGCCGCATGACGGAGTGAGCCTCACGTCTCTGGCCCCAGCTCCTGTCAACCTAGCAGTTCAAAAGCATGAAATTGCAAGTAGATAAATAGGTACCACTTCGGTGGGAAGGTAAATAGTGTTCCCTGCACCTCGGCATCTAGTCACGCCAGCCACACGGCCACAGAGAAGTCTTCGGACAGCGCTGGCTCTTCGGCTTGTGTTAAGTCGCTCGCTTAACAAAGTAGTCGGAGAGTGATTCAGCTTTATTCAACAACTCCAACACAACTCCCAACACGGGTCAACATCTGATAGCCAGAACAGCTTTTACATTGAAGCTGTTCTACTTTTAAACTCTCCCGGTTAATGTAGCCACGCCCTATTATACAATATCAACCAATGAGGTTGCAGAGATAAGGTCCAATCACAATAGTTCCTGCTCTTGGAACTGGCTGTTGGTGATTGGTTGGTTCTTCCTGGGCTACCAATTACAAGTTGAGGGATTAGGATCCTAGCCCAGGATGAAAGCTTCACATGGTGTTTCAGTGACAGAGTTCACATACAGACTTTGGTCAGATTGAATACGCCACAGCTTGGAAACGGAGATGAACACCGCCCCCCCTAGAGTCGGATTCGACTGGCTTTCGAGCAAGGGGAACCTTTACCTTTACTAGCCCTGACCTGCGTGGCCCAGGCTAGCCTGAGCCCATCAGATTTTGGAAGCTAAGCAGGGTCAGCCCCGGTTAGTCTTTGGATGGGAGACCACTAGGGAAGTGTCCAGGGTTGCTACGCAGAGGCAGGCGATGGCAAAACCGCCTCTGTTCAACTTTCACTTTGGAAACCTCACAGAGCGGCCATAATTCGGCTGTGGCTTGCGGGCGCTTTCTACCACCACTGATGTTTTAAGCTTTTCACGTTGCTACCTGTTCTTACATCATTCCCCCTAGTCACCTTCCCCTAGTGACGGGGAGGGGAAGGTGGCCAGGGGGCCCGCTGAAGTTCCACTGGAGCTAGGGATGCCAGCCCTCCAGGTGGTTAAAAATAAGAGAGATCACGGGTTGGAATGGTAAGCAGCCAAATACGACCGTGGTACGATAACTAGATCTTTGTATTATCGGAGTTTAGTGCAACCCCTTCGCCTTTTCGCAATCTACAAAAAGTTCTGTTTATAATAAACATCCCACCAAACTTCTAAGGATGAAAACATGCCGATAGATACATGGATGTAAACAGCCCTGTTTCGTGGTCCGTTTTTCTTTTCTTTTTCTCTTCCGTGTTGTAGTTTTACATAGCACCTCTCCTGCTGGGCTCGGACCCCGTTTCAGGGCTTGATCAAGGCAGATTCCGGCGGTCCGAGGCTTACTGACCGTTTGATCACATGTTCCACTATTGATCGGATGTCCGGCTTTATATGAGTATTAGGACTGAATTTTTCCTGTATTACTGGTCTGAAGGCTTCTGTGCTTTACGAGTGTCGCGTGAAGGATTTTTCCTACGTATACATGATTAAAGTCTTCTGTACATTATCAGGACTTGATGAAGTAGTTTGAACTCTTTGAAGAAGAACCCTCCAAACGAAGATCAAAATCTGGAGTCTTCGTCATCTGTTTATGAATTTATGTGTACTTTTTATGGACTTTATGGAAAGCAAGAGGGTACCAGAAAAACATCTACTTCTGCTTCACTGACTATGCTAAAGCCTTTGACTCTGTGGATCACAACAAACTATGGCAGGTCCCTAAAGAGATGGGAGTACCAGACCACCTCACATGTCTCTTGAGAAACCTGTATAAGGATCAAGCAGCGACAGTTAGAACCGGATATGGAACCACTGATTGGTTCAGCATAGGAAAAGGAGTACAACAAGGATGTATATTGTCACCTTGCTTATTTAATATATATGCAGAGTACATCATGCGAAATGCTGGCCTGGATGAATCACAAGCGGGAATTAAGATTGCTGGGGAAAAGATCAACAACCTCAGATATGCAGACGATACCACTCTAATGGCAGAAAGTGAAGAGGACCTAAAGAGCTTTTTGCTCAGGGTAAAAGAGGAGAGTGCAAAAGTGGGCTTGAAGCTCAACATCAAAAAAACTAAGATCATGGCATCCGGCCCCATCACTCCTTGGCAAATAGAAGGGGAAGTCGTGGAAGTAGTGACAGACTTCACATTCCTGGGATCCCAGATCACCACAAACTGTGACAGCAGCCATGAAATTAAAAGACGCCTGCTCCTTGGGAGGAAAGCGATGGCGAACCTAAACAGCATGATAAAAAGTAGAGACATCACCCTGCCAACAAAAGTCCGCATGGTCAAAGCAATGGTCTTCCCAGTAGTCATGTATGGCTGCGAGAGTTGGACTGTAAGGAAGGCCGAGCGCCGAAGAATAGATTCTTTTGAACTATGGTGCTGGAGAAGACGCTTGAGAGTCCCTTGGACTGCCAGGAGATCAAATCAGTCAATCCTAAAAGAAATCAACTCTGACTGTTCCCTGGGAGGCCAGATAATGAAACTGAAGCTCAAGTACTTTGACCACTTTGTAATCTTGCTTATGTGGTCCCTTGTTATTTTTGTTATTTTTGTTATTTTTGCTTTTGTTACAATATACATTTCCTTTGCATGACCTTTGTGCACTCCATGGCCTGCGTTATTTATACAGTGCTTGCTTGTTTACTGTACTCAGTGTACTGTGTTATCACTCCTGTTTTGGCTATGTAAAACTACAACAGGGAAGAGAAAAAGAAAATCAGAACGGACCACGAAGTAGGGCTGTTTACATTAATGTACTCCTGCCAACCTAGCAGTTCGAAAGCAAGAAATTGCAAGTAGATAAATAGGTACCACTTCAGTGGGAAGGTAACAGCGTTCCGTGCGCCTTGGTGTCTAGTCATGGCGGCCACATGACCACAGAAACGTCTTCGGACAGCGCTGGCTCTTCGGCTTGGAAACGGAGATGAGCACCGCAACCCTAGAGTCGGACTCGACTGGCTTTCGAGCAAGGGAACCTTTTACCTTTACCTTTCCATTAATGTATCTATTGGCATGTTTTCATCCTTAGAAGTTTGATGGAATGTTTATAAATAGAAACGTTCGTAGATTGCGAAAAGGCGAAGGAGTTGCACTAAACTTCGATAATACAAAGATCTAGTTATTGTACCCCGGTTGTATCTTGCTGCTTACAAACCTCCAGGTGGTAGCTGGAGATCTGCCCTTATTACAACTGATCTCCAGGTGGCAGAGATCAGCTCACCTAGAGAAAAGGGCCACCTTGGAAGGCGGTCTCTGTGGCGCTCTACCTTTCCCTCCCCAAAACCTGCCCCTCTCAGGCTCCGCCCCCAAAATCTCCCAAGTATTTCCCAACTCAGAGCTGGAAACCCTCACTGGGAACCCTCCCCTGGCTAGCCCTCTGGCTACTGGGCAGGGCTATTTTGGGGCAGGAACGCACAGGAACGGAGTTCCGGCTGGCTCCTGAGTTGGCCACACCCAGCAGGAACTCATTACCATAATAGGCCACACCCAACAGCAGGAAATCATCAGGATTGGCTACATTAGGGGTGTGTGGCCTAACATGCAAAGGAGTCCCTGCTACAAAAAAAAATCCCTGGGTTTTGACCACAAACAGAGTAAACAGAATAAGAAGCAAAAGGTGGGTGTGGCTGGATAACCACACTTCTGGTAACATGGGGGTGCGGCCTAATGTGCTAAAGAGCTGTGCTGTCAGGGGTGTGGCCTAATATGCTAATGAGTTCCTGCTGTTGGGTGTGATCTATTATGCTAATGAGTTCCTGCTGGGCTTTTTCTACAACCCCCCCCCCCCGCTACTGGGGATTTGCAAACTGTTTCCCACGTACCTGATGGCCTCACAGTCAGAAGAGCTGAAGCTGGCTTTGTTTTCCTTCCTTCCTTTTTAAAATGAAGGCAGACGTTTTTGAGAAGCAGAGTCTTGTAGCTGTGCAAAAGGCAGGGAAATTTCCTGGGGGGCGGGGGTGGGGTGGGTGGGGTTGGAGTCCAGCGCTGAGACTTTTGGCCTTCCGCTAGCGATTTAACTGCCTCCGTACCAGTTTGGTGCATGTAATGCTCTTTCATGGCTTTTAAATAGTTTATTAATTAGAAACGGTATTTTATTTTTACCTTGTAAGGAGCTGCGGAGGCTCAAGTGGTTGAGACGCTGAACGGCAGGCTGTGGAAGGTCGGTAGTTCAGCAGTTCGAGACCCGAGTGTGCCGCATGGCGAAGTGAGCTCCCGTCTCTAGTTCCAGCTCCTGCCAACCTAGCAGTTCGAAAGCAAGAAATTGCAAGTAGATAAATAGGTACCGCTTCGGTGGGGAGGGAACAGCGTTCCGTGCGCCTTGGTGTTTAGGCATGCCGGCCACATGACCACGGAAACGTCTTCGGACAGCACTGGCTCTTCGGCTTGGAAACGGAGATGAGCACCGCAACCCTAGAGTCGGATTCGGCTGGCTTTCGAGCAAGGGAACCTTTACCTTTTTTTTAAGCCTCCTCAAGTGGGTTTTCTGGAGAGGCGGCAGGGAAAGTCCCTAAATAAATAGATTGTGTGTTGTTTCCACGTGGCCTACTAGAGACACTCGGCGACCACAGAAAGTCTCAGGCCGTGTTTCTTCCCAGGCAGCTTGCGAATACTCACAATAGTGCTGTTGCGACAAGTTCCGGCATTCACAATAAGTGTGTGAATTCCAGGGGTTTTTTGTCCCTTTTTCCTCAGATTCGCGAGTATGAGTGGATCCACTCTCAGACCAAACGGCTGAAATTCAATGTGGTCATCACGACGTATGAGATTCTCCTGAAAGATAAGGTGCGTGATCGGCCGGGCATGCAGCTCAACGGAATCCGTGTTGCTTCCCTACTTCATGCCTGTGCAAAAATACCGGGCTTGCGTATGACATCCTCGGCTTAGTAGCCGGGTGTGTTTCCAGGGACGTCCATGCCCATCAGCAACAGTGGACTGCCTGGATTACCTGGGGCTAGCTTCCTCATTTCCCTTGAACAGTTCAGGAACATGGCTGCTAACATTTTCGGAGGCGGATGCTGAACAGAAATCCCTCCCTCATCTAGTGTATTTATTTATTTATTTATTTCTGATTTAAAAAAAAATTTTTTTATTGGATTCATATTTTTTTTCAAATACATTTTTTATTCTTTTACAAAAAAGTACAATCAAATGCCTAAGAAGGGATGAACTCAAACACAGTACAATATATCTTACAGAAGTGTATAGATTTTCAACACAATTGACCAGAGAGACCCCTAGTCATAGCCTCGGTGTGCAAATTGGCTCTAATTTGCTGATTTCCTATTATACGTATTCGGGACTTTAACACCCATACATGTTGCTGTGGACCATGCAGTGAGTGTGGGCCCAATCCTCTACCCTGCTAACCGGCATACCCATCACATTATAGGAACAACCATCTATGATAATAGTGATTTGAGGGCAGTATCTCGTGTTTCGTCATATATTTCACTATCGGTGACCAGAGCCGCCTAAATTTCCTAGCCGTAGTGTCACTGGAAGCCTGGGCCTCCTGGATTTGGATGTTCATTTTGGCCATGACGAATTGTTCCCAGAGTTTATCATGCCACAAAGATAATGTGGGAGGACTAGGGGATTTTCACAGGGCGGCTATTGTTAATTTAGCCGTTGCAAGTAGTAGTGATGTATTGGATTCATATCCCACCCTATCCCAAAATGGGCTCCAGGCAGCTCACAACAGAATGTAATATCAATAAATACAATAAACACATTAAAACAAGTTAAAAACAGTCAAGCAATCATATACTGAACAGTAGAACAAGATGGCAAACTGGGCAAGAAGCTTTTTCCGGGCCGTCCTTAAAGCTTTCCGGCCAGATGATTAAGTTGACAATTCCATCAACAGTGCTACGGGCAGCTCTGTGGGCAGGGGAGGCCAAGACAGACTGAATGCCCACCGCCTCAACCAAAGGCCTGGCGGAACAGCTCTGTCTTACAGGTCCTGCGGGACTGTAACAGGTCCCGCAAGGCCCTGATCTCACATGGGAGCAGGGGTCATTTCCTGCAGGAGCGCACTGGAGCGAAGCTCCGGCAGTAAAGAGCCCAGGGGGCGGGCACATGCAACAAGCCCCGCCCCCTGCTCCCAGCAGCCCTCAGTCAGAGCAAGAAGCAGCCAGGTAAGTTGCAGAGCCCCCGCCCCGGGCCCCCCGGCCCAAAACAGTCCAGTGGCACCTTTAAAACCAAGTTTTATTCAGGTACAAGCTCTCCCTCCTCTGTGAGGACAGATCTGCACGTCCCCCTCCCCCAATAGCTAGCAATCCAAAAGAGTCCACTGGCCTGATCCAACGTTGGCTTCACTTATGTTCTTATGTTCTTTAGCTGACATTTCCAGGTCAGTCTCAAGGGTAGCCCTGTGTATAGCTTGTTACGGTAGTCCAGCCTGGAGGTGACCATTGCATGGATCACTGTGGCTAAGTCATGGGGAGAAAGGCAGGGAGCCAGCGGCCTGACCCGACGAAGAGGGGAAAATGCTGATCTGGCAACGTTTGTCATTTGGGCCTCCATGGATAATGAGGCGTCCAAACTCGCGCCCAAACTCTTCACTGCTGGCGTTGGTGTTAACAACGCCCCATCAAGAGTTGTGAGTTGGATCCCTAATCTCATCCCCACCCCCCAGCCCAGGCACAGGACCTCCGTCTTAAGCTGGAGGAAGTGCAAGATTCGAATCCAGTAGCACCTTAAAGTAACCACCAAGATTTCCAGGGTCTGAGCTTCATGAATCGAAGCTCTTTTCGTGTGCTAAGTAGGAGGAAGTCTCCATTGAAGGATGGTTGGATCCATTCCTCTGCTTCCGCAGTGAGTGTGCAGGGACTGCTTGCCAGAAAAGTCGGCAGCTGCTTGTGAAGGTAACAAGTTTGAACCCCAGCTCAGTGGCACGCATCATGTTTCGGCTTTAGGCTGTCCTGGGAAGCATCAACTGGGCCTTCCTGGGTGTGGACGAAGCACATCGCTTGAAGAACGATGACTCTCTGCTGTACAAGACGTTGATCGATTTCAAGTCCAACCACCGGCTGCTCATCACGGGGACGCCGCTGCAGAATTCCCTGAAAGAGCTCTGGTCCCTGCTGCATTTCATCATGCCGGAGAAGTAAGCTTCCTTGCGGGTTTGCTTTTGACGGAGGTGGCACGCTGCTGTGTTGGAAAGGCAGCTGGGTTGCAATGCCACGGCCTCAGAGCACAAAACGGGAGTACAGGAAGTTCAGAAAAAAGCTGGTTTATGTGCCTCTGGTGACATAAGGGCAGGAACTGAGTCTGGCAAATCTCAGTCCCCCCCCCAAAAAAAAAAAATTTATAAATCACCCCAAACTTCTACTCTGTAATTCTGTTGGTAGATATGCTCAGAAGGGTGTAGGCAGAATTTAAGAAGCTATATTATGGGGTGGAATTGGTGGGCTAGATACAATTTACAGGGTTTGGCACATACAGACCTCCTCCTAGCCCCAACCAGTGATTGGCAGAAGGATGAAACAAATAAGCCAGAAGTTGCAGAATTCAGATTTTCTACAAACGTAATATTACCCGAGTGGGTGCAGAGGGCACCTTTTTGGGCCCCATTTAGGAAGGCTTTGGTTCATCTGGCTGTGGGTTTAATCCATGTGTTGGGTTTTAATCTGTGTTTGCCTTTTTGTTTTTTTATTTGCGTTGGTTTTTAATTTTCTGCTTTTAGCTTGAATGTTAATGTCTCGTTAACGGACTTGGGTGGTGATGTCCTTACGATTTGCGTCGTTAGCTGCCGTGGGCAGAAGGCAGGGTATAAGCATTTAAAAAAAACAAATCTCATCATAGAAGTGAGTGTGCCCAGCAGATGCACAGACAGGATATTTTGTGGTACTCCTCTTTCCCTTTGGCTCTCCGTCTGTGTCACCTCCTGAGGCTCTGCCACAAGAAGGCAGCGCAGCGTAGACACTTTTCTAAATAAACTAATTCCCACAGACATACCTCATTCTGGAATGTACAAATCTGGAAACCCTTGAATTTATTTACTTGACTCCCCACGCCTCCACTCGCAGCTGATGGATGACCTTGGGCACTCCATAGTTCTGTCAGAGCTGTTCTCTCAAGGACAGTCCTCGGCAGAGCATCTCAGCCCCACCTACCTCACGGGGGTGTCTGTTGTGGGAAGGGGAAGGGAAAGGAGTTTGTAAGCCACTCTGAGACTCCGAGTGAAGGGTGGGGTATAAATCCAACCTCTTCTCTCTCTTCTCTTCTTATTGTTATATTTACTTCATTTATGTTCCCATGTTTCTCCCCAGTGGTGACCCAAAGCAGCTGAGAGCCAGTTTGGTGCAGTGGTTAAGTGTGCAGACTCTAATCTGGGAGAACCGGGTTTGATTCCCCACTCCTCCACTTGCACCTGCTGATGTGACCTTGGGTCAGTCGCAAGCTCTGGCACAGCTATCCTTGAAAAAGAGCAGTTTGTGTCAAGAGTTCTCTCAGCCCCACCCACCTCACAAGGTGTCTGTCGTGGGGAGGGGAAGGGAAAGGAGTTTGTAAGCCACTCTGAGACTCCGAGTGAAGGGTGGGGTATAAATCCAATCTCTTCTTCTTCTCTTCTTCTTACATCATTCTCATCTCCATTTTATCCTCATAACAACCTTGTGAGGTTGGTTGGACTGAGAGTGTGTGATTGGCCGAAAGGTCACCCAGCAAGCTTCCCTGGCAGAGTGGGGATTCGAATCTGGGTCTCCCAGATCCTAGCCCAACACTGACTGCTACACTGCACTGATTATGTTGGCAGGACATCGTGATACAAGTATTGCTAGTTTGTCTAATCCTGACATCTCCCCCCCCCCCCAATGCATTGCCTTGGCTATCAGGTTTGAGTCCTGGGAAGATTTTGAAGACGACCACGGGAAGGGGCGTGAAAATGGCTACCAGAGTCTCCACAAAGTCCTGGAACCATTCCTTCTGCGCAGAGTGAAGAAAGACGTGGAGAAATCTCTCCCTGCCAAAGTGGAGCAGATCCTGCGTGTGGAGATGTCCGCCCTACAGAAGCAGTATTATAAGTAGGTGCCTGAAATCATTTTGGGGGTACAGTGGCTGCTCCGAGAGTTTGTGCTGTGAGTGAACTGTTAGAACTAAAATTAATTTAAGGTGTCTGTCTCAAGATGGGTAGCTCTGTTTGTCTGTAGCGGTAGATAAGAGCAAGAGCCCAGGGGCACCTTAAAGACTAACAAAACATGTGGCAGGGGAGGGGCGCTTTCAGAAGTCACTGCTCACTTCTTCAGAAAGCTAATACCCTGCCACATATTTAAAGTGCCCGTGAGCCCAAATCATTCCGCAAAGGAGGCTGCCCACTGTATCTCTGTATGAGATGCCACACTACCCCATTCGTCCTCCCTTGTCAGCCTCCATCTCTGCATTTGGTGTGATTGGAGCATATAGTCAGCAGCCTTACTTGCAGGGGTCGATTTGGGGGGGATCGCGGGGGATCGCAGTTCCCCCGGGTGAGGTACGGGGGGCGGGGCTCATGACGAAGCCCCGCCCCCTGCTTTCGGCCGCCCTGCTTCCGGCCCTCATTCAGCCAGGAGGAGGCAGGAGAAGAGGGAGGGTAAGTTGCTTCCTCCCCGCCTCTCCCCACCCCTGCCTGCCTGGGGCCAGGGAGGGCCTTTGCGGGGCTTCCTCGCACTCGCACTCCCGCCGGCCTTGCAATACCTTGGAGATTTTGGGGGTGGAACCTGAGTGGTGGGTTTAGATTCAGAGGAATTAGCTGTGTTAGTCTGTTGCTGCAAAATAGTCCAAGAGTTCAAATAGTACCTTTAAGATGAACAAATAGCACCTTTAAGACTAACCTTTAAGACTAAGACCAACTGAGTGGTGGGTGTGGCCTTATGACACACTTCCGGTGACGGCAGGGGGTGTGGCCTTATGACACACTTCCGGTGATGTCAGGGGGTGTGGCCTTATGACACACTTCCGGTGATGTCAGGGTGTGTGGCATATGCTCATGAGTTATGCTAATGAGCCCCCCTGGCTCTTAGTCTATGAAACGACCCCTGCTTACTTGCCCTCCAAGGAGGCTGCCTGTCATGTCTTTGCATTATTATTGAGAAAAGTTAGATTTCGAGCCGTAGCACCTCAGAGCCCAGCAAGTAGCACCTCAGAGACCAAGAGTTAACTCACAAGTTCAGAATAGTGGACCCCCACAGAGTTTAACAGGAACACAGGATTTTTTACCTCGCTAAGGACACTAGTTTGATGCCCCAAAGCGTTTCCTGTCTGCTCTGATTAAGCTGATGACTGTATGCATTGTAGCGTCCCATCCTCTACAAACTATTCTTTTCAACGCCTCTCCTGCCTTCTAAGTGGGATAAAAAGACTCCGAGATCTCCATTCCTACTTGTGTGTGACGAAGGGAGCTTTGAAGAAGAGAAGAAGAAGAAGAAGAGGAGGAGATTGGGTTTATACCCCGGCCCTTCACTCGGAGTCTCAGGCTCCGGTCACACGGGCAGGAAAATGCGGGGGGAAGCGTGGCTGTTTGCCCCGGGGCAAACTAATGCGCGGTTAAGCGATCAGACCTCCCGTGGAGGTCCTGTGGAGGTACCGTGGAGGTTCCGTGGGTAGGGAGAGGTGCCGATCACAGGACACGCCTGCGCGCAACGAAGATGCGCGCGGTGTGGCAAACTGGTTTTCTTTTTTTGCGTACACGACAAATGCGCATGCTCCGTTGGGTGCGTGTGCGCATCCACGGAGACTTGGGGGGGAAACACCTTTTTTGCAAGGGGATGGGCGGGTGCCGGATGCCACCGGAAACGCAATCAGACGCCCGCCCTTGCCTCACGGTTTCCGGAAACTAGTACCTCCGAGGTACTAGTTTTTTGCTGCGCGTTTTCGGCTGGAAGCCTCGGTTGTGCCACAGAAGCCCTACGCTTCTCAGATGTGCCGGTGAGATCGCGCCCAGAAAATCCGCCTGTCTTCCGTCTCTCTTGCGTGGCTAATGTTCCGTGTGACCGCAGCCCCAGAGCGGCTTACAAACTCCTTCCCCTTCCCCTCCCCACAACAGACATCAGGTGAGGTAGGTGGGGCTGAGAGACCTCTTTCCAGAACTGCCCTTGAGAGAACAGCTCTGACAGAACTATGGCTTGCCCAAGGTCATCCAGCCGCTGCAAGTGGAGGAGAGGGGAATCAAACCCAGTCCTCCCAGATTAGAGTCCGCGCACTTAATCACTACACCAAACTAACTCTCAGAAGCTTATCTCCCCAAAATCTTGCTGGTCTCCAAGGTACTATTGGACTCGAATCTAGCTCTTCTATTGCAGACCAATACAGCTACCCTCTGAATTATTTAAAAAAACACACAACTGTACTGCTGGTTTGTTTTCTCCCAGCCTGGAAAAGCGCCTAGATCAGCAACACATGCAGAGATACACCGGTTGGCTCCTCTGAGGGGAATCTAGATTGGGATGAAAGCTTCTACTACTTTTAATTCAGGGTCCAAAGGCACCGTTTCACCAACTCAGTCTAGTACATTGATGGCGAACCTTTTAGAGACCGAGTGCCCAAACTGCGACCCAAAACCCACTTATTTATCGCAGAGTGCCAACACGGCAATTTAGCCTGAATACTGAGGTTTTACTTTAGAAAAAAACAATTCATACATTAACTTAAGATGATCCAAACAAAGTAAGGAAAACAATCCCAAATTGCTTTCATTTAGTTAAAATTATTTGACAGAGAATTCGACACTTTAATGATGGTCTGGGCCTGGCTGGGGCGATGGCACGCGTGCCCACAGAAAGGGCTCTGAGTGCCACCTCTGGCCCCCGTGCCACAGGTTCGCCACCACTGGCCTAGTACATTACTGCTATCCCACTTGTCTGCTGGCCCCACATGGAGATGATTGGTCTGTCAGGGTGCGTCTCGACTCCTCTGATTGGCCGCTGTTCTCCAGGTCTCACGTCAAGGGCTTTTCACATCACCCATCGCCTGATCCTTTGAAGCAGAGATGCTCCTTGGGAAAACACCCGTTTGCGTGGTGTGGCTTGTGTAATTTTAGGCTGCCTGGCATCTCCGGTATGGTCTGATGCTCCCCACTGTTCGTCCTTCATGCCTCAAAGAACTATGCTGTTGAGTCACAGCCGGCTCACGGCAACCCCATCAACGGGGCGTTCCAGGCAAGGGAGGACCAGCCGTTGCCCACCTCTGTATAGCGACCCCAGTCTCCCTTGGTAGTCTCCCGTCCAAGGACTCAGTGTGGCCCACCCTGCTTAGCGCCTAATACTGACAGCCTTTTTGATGCCGCAAAAGGAGTCTGCTTTTCAGCCCATCTTTGTTTTGTCCATAGGTGGATTCTGACCCGGAATTACAAGGCCCTTTCCAAGGGGACCCGGGGCAGCACGTCCGGTTTCCTAAACATTGTGATGGAGCTGAAGAAGTGTTGTAACCACTGCTATCTGATCAAGCCACCTGAGGAAAACGAGCGGGAGAATAGCCAGGAGTTGCTCTTGGTGGGTAGCTTCGGGGG